TTTTTTTTTGTTTTTTTGAGTAAGCTACTGTTGTTGACCAATTGTCACTTTTACCCCAAAATACCGGTTAGCTGCTCAATTTTACAACAATCGCCGAGTTTAAACCAAATGATTCGTTTAGTTTTTGACCAGGAATAGGATAGAAATAGCCGAACCGATTTTGTAGCAATTTGTAAGAGCGATTTCACAAAACTCGTGAAAAAATTTAATATTCAAAATCTCATTGTCGAAACAATACAGCTAGTTAAAATTAGTGCGTGGTTTCTCTGTCATTTTAAGCGAGGTACAAACATGGCGTTAAATACAGTGTTTATTTGGGAATTCGATGTCGAAAAATTTCCGTAACTTTGATTTCTTAAATATTTACTGTTTGGAAACTTAATATATCTGGCAAAACATTTCTCTGGATAAATTTTAGTTATGTAGATTTGTTGGAAAGCGTGCAGTAGTGTTTTCATTTGTTTTGCAAATTTTCTCGCGAACTTTGACTCTGGATGTTTACTCGGACAAATGTGTCATCAAAGCAAAACACGACTGCACGTTTTCCAATGTATCTCCAGTGCTAAAATTTTACCAGTAGAATGTTTTTGTAGGGTATATTACGTTTCCAGACTGTGAATGTTTTAGAAATCAACGGAAATTAGTCGATATCGAGTTTCTTTATAAACTCTGTATTTCGCTCCATGTTTGTACCTCGCTCAAAATGACGGAGAAACAGCCAAATGTTTTTAAGATATTATTTGCTATTTTAAGTATTTTGTGAAATCGCTCTGGCAAGTTTTCTTTGCCGAAATAGTCCAACTAAGTTTTGAATTTTCGCTTGTTATGTCGCCAACAGCTTCAAAACACAGCTGTATAGTTTTTCACTGCCAGCAGTTTGTTTAGTTTGTTCATTTACAAGCTCCAGATATCTTGTAACGCTCTGTTGTGTCTATCGTGGTCTTAAATTTAATCGATTAGTTTGCGCTTCAATAAAAGTTTTACAACAATGTTCTTGTCAATAGTCTTTTATTAACTGTAACTTGTAATCAGTCTAGTATAATTACATTGTTATTAATGAACTTCAACTTGTAATTAATCAACAATACAAATAAAGAAATAAAAGTACAACGAAAAGGAATTGTTTTCCCTCTTTTATTGTTTACAACAAGAATAAAAAACTTGCGCGCTTTTAAAGGGGCCTGGAAACTAGTCGGAATGTAGGCTATCTCTTTTACTATTTTTTGACTATGTAGGGTTGCCGAAAAGAAAAAAATTTCTGCACTTTTGAACAGAGGGCTGATAGCAAGTCAAAGTCTAGTCTTTTCCTTTGATGAGACAAATCCGGTAGCAAACCACACATATTTTTCCCGCCAAAAGACTTAGAATATTTTTTGACTTAAAATCAGACTCCATTCAAAAGCGCAGGCGTTTTTTTCTAGGGCAAAAATTTTCCCGCCAAAAGACTTAGAATAATTTTTAATAAATACCAGGCTGCCTTTAAAAGCGCACACTATTTCTACGTAATCAATTTTCCCGCCAAAAGACTTGTATTTTTTTTCGCCAGAAATCATGCTACATTATCGAAGCAAGATTTTTTCCAGCCAAAAGACTTTGAATATCTTTACACAACATAGCGAGTTCCACTACAAAGACTGCTCTTTAATTCCAAAAACATGTATTTTCTTTATTAAATACATTAAGCAAAATCAAGACAAGTGATTTTTTTCTCAACGAAAATCAACGCACGAAAAGTTAACTTTACTTCATAGTGTCTTATAAAACGAAACGATTTTTCCTACTTAAAGATTTGATCTTTTCACGACAGCCTTTCAACTCTTGCTACGGTTTTTTTTTAATCTCGAAAACCTGGAAGTAATATGGAATCCGGTTGCTCAAAGGACGAAAAACTAATGCAGACAAGCATGAATTTTGATCAGTTCAGTTTTGTAACTTTTCAGTAATGTTTTCCGTTTCAATGTTTTGTTATTCAGTTTTGAATTTTACTAATCTAAAACTTTACTTAATGGAACCGATGAAAATACGTTTATAAAAGAAGAATTAATACCTTGAGTGACTTTCAATCCTTAATTTTTAATTTAAGCATTGACCAGCTTTTGAGCAACCGGACCCAGATTGTCGAAATTCAAAATCTTTAGCGAGTGAAACAACGAAGACAACGGCAACGAGAACGTATTTAAACTCTGAATAACAATGTCACGATGACAACAATTCATTTTGTCTCTTGATATAAGACTATCGTATAAATGATTTTGGAAATACAACATTTAAACAATTAATTTTGTCTCTCGATATCAGGCAATCGTTATGGCTGATTTTGTAACTTATACAACATTGAAACAATCAGATTTGTCTCTCGACATCAGGCTA